ACCCCTTACAATTCTGCTAATTAAAGACCAAGGTCAGAGGTGTTTATTGGCATGCAGAAGTAGTTTATAACTTTGACATCAATAATTAATTATGCCACCATGGAAGGGTACATCTGATGGGCTGATATCTGATTGGATGTAATAGTCAAAATGTAAAAAGTCAATATACCCATAAGAAATGCTTTTGTTATGACATTTGCCAATCGAATAGTCCTCTGATAACTATTGACTTTCCTTTTTTTAAAAAAAGGGTGTTGTTTACCCTAAGTTACTTGACCTGCTACATTTATTCATTACTCAAATATAGTTACCTACTGTATAGATTACAAAAGAGGGGCATTGTCTCTTTCCCCCCCTCACATACAGTAGTTGTCTCAGTTTAACATTATTTAATGACTATGAATTTTTGAACTGCTTTATCCCTATTTGATGATTTTGTACAGGCACGCCATATATTTCTGTACTGCAAAAGAATAAAACAAAAAATGTACCACCAGGTGGAAAAAAGAAAAAGAAGAGGAAGGAGACAACAAGACAAAGACACATGCCGATTACAATTCTCAAAGGGGTAACTGCATTAAAGATTGCACACGAATCTTTATTATCGTGCTGATCATATTAAAAAAATTAAGGCAGAGTGTGGTTGGTGACAGTAATTTCTTTTTTGTCCCCTGGCATACAGAGTCCAATTTTGGGAGAGTAATCCCATTGACAGGGATGGAAAACAATCCTTATAAGGAACTTGCAAATATAATCTGTTCAGGTAACTCTCACAGTCCCTTCTGTATGCATGGGGAATTCTTTCTGCAGCCCCTAGTAATGGGAGCTGTGGTAATGAGTCTTAGTACTACACTGTCCTGTCTCAAGACTGTTCCATATCATGTGTTGCTTCTCCTTGAATAACTGTCAGTGCAGGTACAGGGGCCCTGAGGTCACAGCTGCCTGTTGTGTTACTACTTGTGAAGGTAGCAGTGTTCTCTAGCCAATGCATTGCTGCTTTCAGAAGTGAAGCCGTAGGTTTCGTTGAGGCTCAACAAGGATGAGTCTGAAACACCTTTATCCATCTACCTGCCTATATAAGGGTAGAATTGATTTTTTTAGGGATATGAAAACTCACAACAAAGCATATTATGAACGACTTACTAGACCCCCCCTGCACTATTCAGTTTCATTCAGTCTACTCCTCAGGCTTCCAGAGATAAGCACTTTATATAGCGCCTAATTCAAAAGCCAGCTTTAGCCCAGACGCAGTGTTACCGAAATTCTTAATGCTCTATTTTCCAGCAGCAGCCAGCTGAAAGCATTTTATGGAAAAAGAGGGCATCCCTGAAAACTTGTTAGCAAAATTGGCGGGAGGACTGGAAACAGAAACGCAGTGACATTTTTATTAGTGTGTCTCAGCTCAGATCGGACTGCCAAATTGGTTTAAAAGAAGCCGATTTTTATGAGCGATGCGCAATATCCTATCGGTTTTATTGAGAAATATTCAAGATAAAAATGCGGCCTCAGAAACTGCCACTAGAGGGAGTCTGGGCACTTTGAAACGAATACTGTGTAAAAAATCCTGAGGACGGCAGAGTCGATGGGAGGGAAGCCGCCAAGGGGACCGAAGCTCGGAGAACGTGATGGAGGCTCCCTTCTGCCTCCCTCGCCCCGGCCCCTCCTCTTGCTGCTTCCGAAAAAGACACCACAACTGACGGAGCCGCCTCACGCTGCAAAATAGTTCACCCCCCAAAACGACACGCTGCTGCCCCGTTGCAAAGGGAAGCGTCAGGGCACGCAGTCCCGTGCGCCTCTTTCTCCTCAAGTTTTGGGGACGCTGAAAACCTGACCCGAAGGGGGGAGGCTCTCCGCCACACGCACAGCGCCCGTGGGGATTTCGGACTTCCCCTCAGCTCTAGCAGCCCCGCCGGGTCGCCCTAAACGGCCCGAGGCGCCCGGCAGAGCGGCAGTCGGTCGCCAAGCTTTCCTCTCTTTAAAACTTTGGACCCGCGCAGGGTGTGGGTTTCGGCGCAAGCGGGGCGGTGTGGTGCCCGGGGAACCACCACGCCTTCGGGGGAGGGGGGGGAGAAAGTCGCCCGAGCTGGCTGGTGGGGAAAGGAGCCCGCCAAAGGCTGCGGAAGGGGCCCTGCCTGTTTTCGTTCCTCACGATGCAGGGCGTCCGAGGCGCGGGAGATTTCGGGGGGGGGGGGAGAAGCGCTTTGCCGCATCCGGTCGAGAAGGGCTAGCCGAGGGGCCCGACGTTCAGGCGGTTTCCAAGCAAGACGGACCCGTTTGGTTCCGACGGGACTCCCCTCCCCTTTTTAAAATGATAAGCCTAATTTAAAGCCCCGCCACAGCCGGCCCGCCACTTAGCAACGGAAACTATATTTGTGTATGGGGGGGGAGAAGAGAGGATTAAATGGAGACGGACGATGAGAAATCTGTTTCCCAGCCACAAACTTGGGTGCTTTGATACTATTTTTAAACTGATTACAGTAGTGTGTGAAATCAGACGCGCGCGTTGCGG